CATAAGGAATCGAAAAAAAAAACCTAAAAAAAGGTAAAAAATGCAGAAATTCCTAAGAAATTGAAAAAAAAACCCAAAAAAAGGTAAAAAATGCAGAAATTCATAAGGAATCATGGTCTGAAATAACAGGGAAAAACCTCAGTGAAAACGGAGGAATTTGGGTTGTGATAACCACAAAAAAACTCGTGAAATGTTAAGGAGGTGGTGAAATATCCTGAATTTATGTCCCAAATTCTACCTGGGATCTGTGAGGTTGCTCTGGGATCAATCAAATCCCAAAATTTACGTCCCAAATATCATCCGGGACTGCTCAAATCTCCCCTGAGAACCCCAAAAACTCCTTCAGGACCACCCAAACTTCAACTGAAATCCCCAAACCTCACCCAAAAACCTCTCCAGGGATCCCAAATCCCCCCAAAATTCCTTCAGGACCACCCAAACTTCACCCCAAAACCCCCAAATCCCCCAAAATTCACCCAACTCCACCACGATGTCCTCGTCCATGACCTGGGTGTCCCCTCCAGGGACCCCAAACCCCCTTGATACCCCCTAAAACTCCTCCAGGACCCCCAAATCTCCCCCAAAACCCCCAAATCTCCCCCAAATCTTCCCCCAAACCCCCAAAATCCCAAATTTCCCCAAAACCCCCCAAATCACCCCCAAAGCCCCCGAGGTTCACCCGACTCCACTGCAATGTCCTCATCCATGACCTGGGTGTCCCCTCCAGGGGCCCCAAACCTCCCTGACACCCCTTAAAACCCCTCCAGGACCCCCAAACCTTCCCCAAAACCCCCAAATTTCCCCAAAACCCCCAAATCTCCCCCAAAATCCCCGAATTTCCCCCTGAACTCACCCGACTGCACCACGATGTCCTCGTCCATGACCCACAACATCCCCTCCAAGGACTCCAAACCCCCCTGAGACCCCCAAATCTCCCCCAAATCTCTCCCAAAGCCCTAAATCTCCCCCAAAACCCCGAAATCTCTCCCAAACCCCCAAATCTCCCCCCAAACCCCCCGAATCCCCCCAAACTCACCCGACTGCACCACGATGTCCTTGTCCATGACCCACACATCCCCTCCAGGGACCCCAAATTCCCCCAAAATCCCCAAATCTCCCCCAAAACCCCCAAATCTCCCCCGAATCCCCCCGAACTCACCCGACTCCACCACGATGTCCTTGTCCATGACCCACACATCCCCCTGAGGGACCCCAAATTCCCCCAAAATCCCCCCAAAACCCCCAAATCTCCCCCCAAAACCCCCGAATCCCCCCAAACTCACCCGACTGCACCACGATGTCCTTGTCCATGACCCACACATCCCCTCCAGGGACCCCAAATTCCCTCCAAATCCCCCCAAATCCCCCCAAACCCCCAAATCTCCCCCGAATCCCCCTGAACTCACCCGACTCCACCATGATGTCCTCGTCCATGACGCGCGCGTCGCTGTCGCTGCCGTCGCCGTCCCTGCTGGTCTCGGTGCTCCCCCCTTCCTTGCCCACCCCCAGCACCCCCCCGGGCCCCCCCAGCACCCCCAATTTCCCCCCCTCGGGGGGCAGGGGCGGGGGAGGGGGCGGCGGCGGGGGAGGGGAGGGCGGCTCCTCCTCGGAATCCGTCTCCTCGCTGGGAGACCCCCTCCCCAAAACTCCCCTCTCCCCTTTTTTCCAGCGCCGCTTCTTGCTCTTTTTCACCCGGATCCGCGAATTCTCCCGGCGGGAGCCGCCCCCGACGGCCGCGTCCCCCCCGCGGCGGCCGCGGCGCTCGCGGCGTTTTTGGGGGGTCGGCGCCCCCGGGTTGTTCTGGGGGGAGGGGAGGTCGAACAGGGAGTCTTTGAGGCGCATTTTGTCCAGAATGGCCGATTCCGGCGGGGCCAGGGCGCGTTTTTTGGAGGATTTGGCTTTCCGCACGAAGGTCTCGATGGTTCGCAGCGCGGCCGGCGCCGAGCCCCACGCGTCCCCCCCGGCCGGGCGCGGCGAGCTGGGGCCCGACGAGGGCCAGGGGGGGTCCTGGGGGAGGGAAATGAGGGGGGACCCCAAATTCACCCCAAATCCAACCCGGGAACCTCAAACCGACCCCAAAATCCAACCCAGGAACTTCCAATTCACCCGAAATCCAACCCGGGAACCTCAAACTCACCCCAAATCCAACCCGGGAATCTCAAATTCACCCAAATCCAACCCGGGAATCTCAAATTCACCCAAAATCCAACCCGGGAACCTCAAACTGACCCCAAATCCAACCCAGGAACCTGAAACTCACCCCAAAATCCAACCCGGGAACCTCAAACTGACCCCAAAATCCAACCCGGGAACTTCCAATTCACCCGAAATCCAACCCGGGAACCTCAAACTGACCCCAAAATCCAACCCAGGAACCTCAAACTCACCCCAAATCCAACCCGGGAATCTCAAATTGACCCAAAATACAACCTGGGAATCTCAAACTCACCCCAAATCCATCCCAGGAACCTCAAACTGACCCCAAAATCCATCCCAGGAACCTCAAACTCACCCCAAATCCAACCCAGGAACTTCCAATTCACCCCAAATCCAACCCGAGAACCTCAAACCGACCCCAAAATCCAACCCGGGAATCTCAAATTCACCCCAAAATCCAACCCGGGAACCTCAAACTCACCCCAAATCCATCCCAGGAACCTCAAACTGACCCCAAAATCCATCCCAGGAACCTCAAACTCACCCCAAATCCATCCCAGGAACCTCAAACTCACCCCAAATCCATCCCAGGAACCTCAAACTGACCCCAAATCCATCCCAGGAACCTCAAACTCACCCCAAATCCATCCCAGGAACCTCAAACTCACCCCAAATCCAACCCAGGAATCTCAAACTGACCCCAAATCCAACCCAGGAATCTCAAATTCACCCAAATCCAACCTGGGAATCTCAAATTCACCCAAATCCAACCCGGGAACCTCAAACTGACCCCAAAATCCAACCCAGGAACCTCAAACTGACCCCAAAATCCAACCCAGGAATCTCAAATTCACCCA